ATACAGTTCGTTTAGTCCAAAGTAGCTGCTATATAGTACCTCTCTAATAGATACTAACCAACTACACCCTAAATTACTATGTCACTAGCTATCTAACTATATTTATCTAACTATATGTATCTCACTAACTAAATCAACTAGCTATCGAATAACTATATCTATGTACCTATGTCACTAGCTATCTAACTTTATTTATCTAACTATATCTATCTCACTAACTAAATCAACTACCTACATCATCAAATTTACTATAAACTACCAAATAATCAAAGTAGCACTACAATTCAAGCTAACTAAGTACCTACATTGCATATTCAAAAATTTTACCTGTCCAAGTCAATGCAACAATGCGACGCGGACGCGGACGCCGGGACCGGAGCAGGACGGGGACGCGGAGGACGGGATCGACGGCGAGGTCGTGGCACGCTGGGAGCAGGGGCCGTGTCGGGCCGGGGTCACCAGAGGGAGCGCCTATGTGCGCGGCGGACGCGGCAAGCCGGGACGGACGAGGCGGCGTGGTCGGGAGGAGGTCGCACAGCTGGCCAAGCACCTGGCTGGGGTCATGTGGGCATGGGCCGGAGGTCTTGGGCAGTGAGTGGGTGGGGGCATGACCCGTGCCCCGCACAGTGAGGGGGGGCTTGACACGGCATGGGTCAGAGACCCACAGACGGCAGGGGCTACTGTGTGGTGGCGGTTGGCGGCCAATGGCGTGTGCCACAGCTCGAGAGCGTAGAGAGAGCGGAAGAGAGAAAGGAAGAGAGGGCACATACGTAAGACAAGGCTTGGCGCCAATAACCATGGCGCCAAGCTCGGCGCCAATAACCACGGCGCCATGCTCGGCGCCAAGATCTACGACGCCAAGGTGCCTGCCAAGTCACCGCCACGTCTGCGCCGAACCCAAGACCTAGGCACCAAAATCCATGGCGCCGAGACGTGTAAGCTCGGTGTCACCAACGATGGCGCCGAACTAAGGGTCCAGATTTTGAAACCATACCTCCAGGGACATATTTGTAAAAAAATTTCAAAAAAAGGAAAAAAACAAAAAAATCGGGCTTCAGGACACCTTTTCCTTGCGGGCATGCACTCCTAGACAAGCTATTTTTCTCACTACTTGCTGTCGTTGCACCGATAGTGTAAGATACTGTGGTGCCAGCACCTGTTGTTATTCCGTCTGTGGCAATAATGAATGATGATAAGGAACCTGTTCTTCAGGATCATATAAAACCTATTGCCACACATGAGGGGGAGCAACAACAGCCTTAAACTGAAGATGTGCCAAATGTGGAGGCCCCTAGAAGGTCTCAAAGAGTTAGAAAATCAGCTATTCCTGCTGATAATGAAGTATACAACATTGAGGAATTTTAAATGGAGGATGATCCCACCTTATTTGAATAAGCCATGAGAAGTGATCATTCATCAAAGTGGCTTGAGGCCATGGAAGATGAAATAAAATCAATGAATGCCAATAAAGTTTGGGACTTGGAAATAATTCTTAAAGGAGCCAAAGCAGTAGGCTATAAATGGGTCTACAAAACAAAACTTGACTCTCAAGGGAATATAGAGAGAGATATAAAGCGAGACTTGTGGAAAAAGACTTTACGCAAAGAGAAGGGATTGATTACAATAAGACCTTTTCTCCAGTCTCATATATGGATTCCTTCAGAATCATAATGGTATTAGTGGCACATTACGATTTAGAATTACATCAGATGGATGTAAAGACGACATTTCTTAACGGTGACTTGAAGGAAAATATTTACATGGCACAACCGAAAGGTTTTGTCATAGAAGGAAAAGAACGAATGGGATGCCACCTAAAGAAAATCATTTATGGATTAAAACAAGCTTCAAGATAGTGGTACTTGAAGTTTGATCAGACAATAAAGAATTTTTGGTTTAAAGAGAATGTAGAGGATAATTGTGCCTATACAAAGTTTAAGAATGGGAAGTTTATCTTCCTTGTCCTATATGTGGATGATATCTTACTTGCTAGTAGTGATGCCAGTCTACTACTGGAGACAAAGAAGTTTTTGTTCTCAAAATTTGATATGAAAGATCTCGGTGAAGCTTCGTTCGTTCTAGGGATCGAGATTCACCGAGATAGAAGTAAAGGGGTATTAGGACTGTCACAAAAGGCATACATAGAAAAGATCTTAAAGAAATTCTGTATGTACAAATATAGTCCCTCACCTGCTCATATAGTCAAGGCGACAGATATGAGGATTTTAAATGTCCCAGGAACCAATATAAGATCGATCAAATGAAAGTGGTTCCATATGCTTCAGCTGTCGGAAGCTTGCAATATGCTCAAGTATGTACGCGCCCTGACTTGGCATTTGTTATCGGGTTACTTGGCAGATTCTAGAGCAATCATGGAACAGAACACTAGAAATTGGTAAAGAAAGTCTTGCATTATTTGCAAGGAACGAAAGGCCTTATGATGATGTATAGAAGATCTGATTCACTCCATATAGTGGGATATTCAGATTCTGATTATGTGGGAGATGATAGAAAATTCACGTCGGAATATGTATTCACTCTCGCAAAGGGGAGCTATTTCATGAAAAAGCTCAAAGCAAACCGTCACTACATCGTCTACAATGTATGACAGTTTGTAGCGTGTTATGAGGCAACGGGACAGGTGAACTGGCTAAAGAAGTTCATACCCGGTTTGAAGGTGGTTGACGATATCTATAGACCACTTAAGTTATACTGCGATAATAATCTGACAGTACAGTATGCTCACAACATAAGTCAAGTGGTGCTGCCAAACACATTGACATAGAGTATTATGTTGTGAAAGATAAAGTTCGAGATCAAGTCATAAGTCTTGAGCATATAAGTACAGAAAAGATACTCGCGGATCCGCTTACAAAAGGCTTACCACCCAACGTGTTTAGAGAACATGGTGTTCAGAGAACATGTAGCTAGCATGGGGTTAAGGAAAAGTCTAAAATTCCTGAATAAAAGAAGGCCCAAAGATAAGTATCTATTTCAGAACAGAGTAGTGTGTTGTAGCTGTTAAATCCATCGACAATGGACCGTGATGATGAGACATGCTCTATGCACTAATCTGTAATGGAATGAACAAAAATAAATGATATGAAATTGAAAGATAGTAATGAGATCAAGGGGGAGAATGTTAGTTGATCTCCACCAATAGGCCCAACGGCCTATTGAGGCCCTTGGATACGCTCCCGATCGGGGCGCCCAACCCTAATGTGGTTGGTGGGCCCTGTCGCATAGCACTATAAATAGAGGAGTGGGGAACTAGGACTCGACTAACGAAGTTGACCGGAGCCGTCGCAATCCCACCACACAGAGAAACCTAATCCGATCTAAAGGAGTGCTGTCAGCGACGGGATGCCCCACCGCACCACCATCGCCCTTGCAGCGTCACCACCTGTCCACTGCATCGCCACCACGACGCCAACAACCCCACGGTACCGGCGTCTACCCTGCTGCGGTGCAACTACATAAAGATGAGGAGACTTACCCCGGATCTACGGTTAGAGAGATACACCATGATCCTAACAGTATGTACTCCGCGTCCATGAAGTAGAGTCGATTTCAGAAATTTCAATCTGACTCTGATCACGCTGGACACAAGTCTGACAGCACAAGTTGGTGGTCTCAACTTCTTTTGTAGTTTAACAGACTGTGTTTGTATTTTTGTAATAACTAACTGCGTGGTAAAGATGTGGAATGTCTCATCTGTAGTCTTGCAGTTGCGACGTATTTGCAGCTTTGGACTAACCATTGGATATTGTAGCCGGGACAGGCTTCAGTTAGTAGTAGTGATGTATAAGAATCAGAGCAACAAAATCTGAGCCAAAGTATTAAAGAACCTTATCTTGACAGTAGATCAAGCACATATACGATCATTGCAGTTTAGCTGTTAATTAAATACTCTATTATGTAAGAAAAATGTCTATTTGATTGTTTGGATAAGTGGCAATGGGATTTGATGGACCCTCATAATTCAAATGGCTATGTCATGTGCTAATTAATTCAAAAACGATCTGGACTTTGGTGCGTGGTCTAGGCATATATACGTCTGCACATTCAATCAGGGTCTATGTATTTGATAAGATTATTAACAACCTCCGTTTCGGTAGGAAAATGTAACAAGCAAGAGTTTTTTTTTACATATATAAACAATATAACATCAATTGCTATACACTAAACGTAGTACTAAAGAACCTGTGAAACGTGGATTCATCTATACAAGTTTTCTGCATTAAGCACGCATGTAATTTGATTAACTGTTAGCCATAATAATTTATAAAAATTAAAGATCTATAAATAAACGGAAGGAGGGCTTGTATAGCTAGTGTATGTCTTTTCTGTTCCTACATTTTTTCACACAACTTTGGTTTGTGGGGGAGAAAATAAACCCTCCAATTGAAGACAATCAGCACAACTAACAGTATAGTGTAAGGATAGTCCCAATGCTATACCTATTAATTTCCAGAGATAATACATATAGAAACCATGGTCCCAATAGATAGTTTCTACAGAATAAATTTTTATCCAATCACATTTATTCTCTCTCTATTCTCAACCAATCATATTCCTTCATGTATTGATTCTTATGTAGACATAGTTTATAAACTTAGACCCGATTTTTATGATTTTTGCTGTATCTCTTCAATAACTATATTGCCACGTCAGTAAAACGCTGAGGTAGTAGTGCAATTAATGTTTATAGAAACTATGATAATTTCTACATTGAGAGTGCCCTAAGAGTATGTGTAACCCCCACTTATCATTCAATGCTTCATATACTTTATATTAATTTCTTCACAACGGTCACACACTCACGGGAAGTCAAGAGGGGACGGACAGGGACCAGTTGCTCCGCATACCAAACCAAGATTGCCATGAACCACTGCAACGAGGCTTCACTCACGGCACCACATCCTGTTCCTGGCCGTGGTGACTGGTGACGACGAAAGAGCTTGCTGCTGAGCACCGGCATTGCGGCGACACAAACCGCAATGCCGCCGACGGCACCAGCGGCGGTGCCGCCGCGCACTTGCATGGACTCCCTCATCGCCTTCCTCCACCACCACCTGCGCGCGCTCCTCGCCGACCCCGCCGCGCTGCACGCCACGCGCCGCCGCTGCCTCGCTCTGCTCACGCCCCCTCTGTGCCACCGTCGTCGTAACAACCTCTCCGGGGGCGGCCAGGAGGAGGAGGAGGAGAACGACGACGACGAGGCCGTCCTCGCCGCGCTCCACGGCTCCATCGACGCGCTCCTCCCGCCATCCGTCGTCGACGGCGCGGCGGCGGCTGGCGCCGCCTGCCTCGCGGGCGTCGAGGAGGCGCTGCAGGCCCCCGCGCTGCTGCCGGAGCACGGCGAGACGGCGGGGCTGGACAACCGCCGCGTCGCCGCGTGCGCCTACTTCTACCTCGCGCTCGTGCGGTGCGCGCAGGGGGACGCGTGGCAGATGGCCATGGACCTCCTCCAGGCCGTCGCCGTGTGCCCCGCCGCGGTGGCCGGCACCGCCCGCGAGGACGGCGCCCACCGCGCCGGCGGGCTCGCGCCCCGCGCGCTCTGGGAGGGGCTGTTCGACGAGGGCGTGCTCGCCAGGGCCGGCGGCACCGGCGAAGACGACGCGGCGCGCCGCGCGGCCAGGCGTTACAAGGACTGGCTCATGTACTACAAGGTCGTGGCCGCCGACGGCGCGCAAAATGGCGGGTGAGTAACGCATCCAAGAAAACAGGGAACTCCTCTTTACCGCGGCAGTTATAACGGCATACGTATACGTATACGTATGGTTGTACGCGTCTACGGTATACTTGTGAGTGACGCAGCATGGCACGCTGATGAGGCGACTGGAAATTGAAAAGGGATAACTTTTCACGACAGGCTGATAGGGTTATGATGTGCTGAAGTAGGGGCTGCTAAAGTTTTGTTTCTCTGTTGGGTTTTTTTTTTTTTTTTTTTTTTGCTTGGCATGCCTTTTTCTCCATGCTCACATTCATCTTTTTTTATTAGGACCTTTTCTCCATTCTATTTTTTCCCACATGGCTTTTCATGCAAAGAAAAATAAAGGGTATTTTTTATACATATAAAGGTTATTGCTGTATTTTGCTGATAATAGAGAAAATATTGCAATAGCCGAAGAAAATCTTAAAGGTTGCAAATTCTCAATTTATGAGCAAAAGCTACACTAATTCCTTAATCCAAACTAAAACAAGAGGTGCCCTTTTTTGTTGAATAATTAATTCTTATTTTCTGAAACAGAAAAAAAAATCTCTCCCCCAAAATTCATGTGAAGCAAAAGTCAGCACTTTCCAGAGAGTCCATTTAAGCAAAAGAGGGAAAGATCAGCGCTCTCTCTTTACCAAAAGGGAATCTAAAGGCAAAATGCCACACACCTTTTCGGCCAATGCTATCTTCACATCCCCTGGGCTAATATCCCTGAAGCAAAGCTGGGGGGCAAAGATTCTCCACTTCCGGCTTGAGACAAGCATGTACACTAAACCATCCTGGTCCACTGCAAGTGCATGCCTGCAGAATGATAGCACCATCTAGAGAGATCATCTTCAGTACTGCTACATTGTCTACAGCTATATATAGCTTAAATAGCCAATAGATGAAATCATGCTGTCAGTGTAGTTGCTACATTGTCAATATACCCTGTCTACGGTAGTGTTTGCTAGTTGCTGCTACTATCTGTAGGTATATAGAAAAGAAAGGCACAGTTGTCTCACTCTTAGAACTCTGAAGATATATACTTCCATGAGCAGGTGTCTTCAGGTAGGAAGATCTGGAAGCCCTGCCATTTCGAGATGGTTGAATTCTTCGGAGGTAAGTATCATATGCTGTATACATGTCTTCACACGTTGTCGTGTGTGCATACAAGAGTTGATATGACCTGCATTTGAGAACTGACAGTGAATCTGGCATTGTTGCAGGATAGAACGAACCATTTGGTTGATCGTGAAGGAATTAGCACGGTCTCTGCATCAAAATTTGGTGCTCATGATGGTTTCGCCGAGCTGAAGGGTTTTCTCAGCATTGCATATCAAGATTTCCAGGAAGATACCAAAGGGAGCTCTGATAGCAGGTGCCTCCATGAGATGCTCCAGGAGTCCCAGTCCGATTCGCCCGTTTCCTTCGACTCACATCTTGATTCTAGTGAAGAAAGTGATAGTGAGGTAAAACAAACTCGACTCTAGCATTCAAAGCTTCATTGAAAATTATACTGGTGAAGGGATAAATTACCATTTTCAGTAGACGAACTTTGCTTCACTTTTTATTGTACCACATTTATCAGCAGTACAGTTTTACATCATTCATCCAGGTGAATTATCGCCACCAAAGTTGAAAATCTGAATGATTTGAGATACATGCCTACAGAGACCAAAGATTTGTGTTAATGGAGAACTAAAAACTGAATATGTTGTTTATAACTTTTACCGAAGTCGTTGCCTGGACTTTGTATATGTGGTGGGCTTTAACCCTTAGATTTAAATGGCATTTAATTCATCTGAAGCAGGCAGCTCCATATGACAAAGGAAGGTCAGCAAAGATCATGCCCATAGATGCAGATTTCTTGGCAGCTAAACTACATGAAAGGTACTCCATTTGATGACATTGTCTGTGGCACTTTTTTCTTTTGCGAAAGTGCCTAGCACGACATTGTCTGTGATACTGTTTCTTGAGCTGCCTAACCTCAAATTTCTTTGTTTTGGTACCATCTTTGCTTAGATCAAACCACAACAAGAATCTGACGTGGTGCACATCTCCTGAAAATGCAATGATATACGCTCCAGAATCTCCAATGTACCAGGTAGATGACCATGAGATGAAATCAAACTGCTTGCAATCAAACAGATCTCATGGCTCACTGAATAATCTATCAAATTCGGTCCTGGAGCTGAAGAATGCTGACTCATACTCCACATCCAACTATTCCGCCAAGGATGCCATGTTTCCGCAGTGCTCGCCAAGGTACGATCTCAGATGCTTCAGCACCTTCTCAACCAAATTCATCAAGAAAAGTTCCCTGTCCGATCTAGTCTCCAGAGGAAGCATGAGCAGGAAATTCAAGACTTCCACAACCAGTGATGATTGGAGTGATGTCAGCTCGCGCTGGGGAAAGGACAGTCAGGTAGATTTTCTTGAGAGGTTCGAGAAGGCAGTATCAAAACTATTGATTTCAGATGGACTAGAAAGCTGCCTAGATGCTGGCTCTGAAGTCACAACTATATGGCAATTACTGAACAACACTTCAGAGGCGAGACACAAGTCGTCAGTAAGGCAAGATATCCTTGACCAGCTGCTTGACAGCATTTCCACATCAAAAAAGGACAAAGTGGTCAGGGCATCAGTCTATGTTCTGCTGCTCATGATATCTGAAGATAGAAATATGATGAGAGGCATCAAGAGGAAGGACTTCCATTTATCCAACTTAGCCATTGCATTGAAGAGAGATGTACATGAAGCAGCCATTCTGATATATCTGTTGGATCCTACACCTTTAGAGATAAAAAACTTGGATCTGTTGCCCTCGCTTCTACATGTTGCTTGTAACTCCGGCACCCAAAAATGGCCTGCAATGCTTCCACTGACACCGACATCAGCATCAATAGCTCTCATTGAGATCTTAGTGACAGCATTCGACTATGTAACAAACAATGTCCACTTGGCTTCCCTCAGCTCTCCTACTATTCTGTCTAAGCTTGTAGACGTTGCAAAGAACCACAACTTGGAGGAAGGTGTAGCCCTGGCAGCTATTCTCATCAGATGTGTACGTCTCAATGGTAACTGCAAGAAGTTCTTGTCACAGGCTACTCCAGTGGACCCATTCCTTCACCTTCTGAGACGAAAAGAGCACCGTGTCAAGTGTGCTGCACTTGAATACTTCCATGAGATTCTACAGATTCCCAGGTATGGTGCACATCCTGTAAAGAATTACTCCGTTATATACTTGTCTGAATAACTTATTGAATTGTGCAAATTTCCAGGTCCTCAGCAAACTCTCTGCTTGAAGAAATACGACGGCAAGGTGGCATTGCAATTATGCACACACTGATGGTCAGCCTCCATCAAACTGAACCTGAACATCGGGTTTTAGCAGCTAGCCTTCTCCTGCAATTGGATATGATGGTACATACACTGTTCGCTACCCAGATACCCCAAAGTCTGAATAAGCATTTACTTTATAAACCACAAATAAATTTTGAAAACAGAAAAGCAAAAATATTTTTGTTTGACCCACATACCTATATGTTTTTCATGGTTTCACCAATGCTTCAAAAACACAACATAAAGGCATTCATCATTGGTATTATTGTTAACTATTTAATATTATTATTAACATTGCAAGTAACCTCACAATATTTGAAGCAGCAGGTTTCATATTCCTTTTGGCAGGAGAGATCAGATGGAAGGAGTGTGTTCCAAGACGAAGCGATGGAAGTCTTGTTGGGCTCTCTATCATCTCAAGAAAATAGTAGAGTACAGGCATTATCAGCATGTTTTCTTTCAAACCTTGGAGGGACTTATTCCTGGTCAGGAGATTCGTACACTGCAGCATGGCTCACAAAGAAAGCCGGTCTCACATCAACATCACAAAGAAATACAATCAGGAACATCGACTGGCTTGATTCTTGCCTGCAGGTTAAGTATGAAAACATTCTTTCATTTGGAAAGTGGTAGAGAAAAACATAACTTAATGGTAAGGAACATAATAATAACAATGGTGATACATGATGCAGGATACAGAAATAAGCACATGGAGCAATAAATCTGCACGAGCGATTATTAAAATAGGAGTACCGTTTATCAGCGCTTTAGCCAAAGGAATGCAAAGCAAGGTGAAGGGAACCTCACAGGATTGCCTCATATGCAGTGCATGGCTCGGAAGCGAGCTGGCTGCCCTTGGTGAAAATGCCATAAGATATTCTGCTTGTGAGATCTTGCTGCATGACATAGCAAGTCGCCTTCATCCAGGAAATGAGCTTGACGAAAGGGTTCTAGCATGCATGTGTCTCTATAATTACACCTCGGGAAAAGGTAAATAGTACATCATCACTATCTTCTATCCAGTTACAATTAAATGGTTTTGGTATTTAGTACAATTCAATAGTTATTTTGCACATCTTAAAGACTTTTGGAACATAAACATCCAATCTAAAGCTGAAGGAAAGCTCCAAGCATTATACTTTATACAAGTTACCATTTTTTAACAACAGGCAAGCAAATGTTGATGAGCTTGTCAGAGGGTTCCCGAGAATCTCTTAGGAGGCTTTCATCATTCACATGGATGGCTGAGGAGTTACTTCAAGTTACAGATTATTTTCTTTCCAGCAAACCAGTGAGTATTGTTGGAATTGAGCTCCTTCACTTTCCTAGTTTGTTTCATACTACCCCTGTTCCAGAAAACAAGGCATGCCGTCCTAAGTAACAGCAAGAACAGACCATCAAGTAGATCTTCTTATACTGGGAGCTAAGAGCCTAAGATTATATCTGATCTAATCAAAAGTTCTTTAAGATTGCTATTGTTAATTTCAGAAGCTATGCTGAGATCATTATAACAACATTTCTAGCTAGTCCTTTGTGAGAAATGTTTCTTAAACATAAGAAATAATTATCTGATGTTGTCAGTGCAGCGTGTATCATGTGTACATACACAAATTCTAGAAATTGGTCAACCAGGCAATGGCGCAGCAACTGCTATAGCATTCTTCAGAGGGCAACTTTTTGCTGGTTATTCTAATGGCACCATCAGGGTAATGATACATTCCATATGTGTGAATTAAAATCATAACCATAGTTTCAAATTTCCCATACCTACAAAATTAGCTCAAAATCTCTTGAGTAAAAGAAGTTACTTAGAAGGGACCCTTTTTTAGAAGGAAAATCATATGGCGGCAAGGGGGGCTGGCGCCCTCATTAGCTAAAGGACAAAAATACCATGTTAAAATGTTTCAAAAATCATGTATGTAGTACACCTAAAGTTAAGTGTAGCCGCAACAATTCAGATTTGAATTCATCTTTGATGCTGAGATTAAAAAACGCAGAAGTGTCACTGTCAGCACATGATGAACAGTGTCAGGTTGATTGCTTGTCTATTTTGTTTCTTGGCATCTAGGGTGAATTTCAAACTGAATTGTTGCGGCTATACTTAACTTTATGTGTACTACATACATGATTCTTGTGATGATTTTTGAAACATTACAACATGGTATTTTAGCTAAGGAGGGCCCCAGCCCCCTGGGCACCAAATCTGCACTCTTTTTAGAAAGACTTAAGGGACTAGGAAAATGGTAGAAACTTGTACTGATACAGCAAGTTCATTGCTTCAGTTCATGCAGTAGTATTTACATAACTAAAGAATTCCTAATACTCAGGTGTTCTCTGCAGGCATGGGACATAAAAGGCCCGAGGGCAGTAATCATCAGGGAGGTAAAAGAGCACAAGAAGGCGGTGACTTGTTTTGCACTATCAGAAACTGGGGAGAACCTCCTGAGTGGATCAGCAGACAAATCTATTCGGGTAACCAATTCAACTGCAGTGCTAAAACCACAAAAGAAAATTAATTGCGGGATGTTAAATTAAAAGATCATTTGCAGGTATGGGAAATGGCACAGCGCAAGCTAGAGTGTGTGGAGATGATTCAGACAAGAGAGGCTGTACAAAAGGTTGATATTTGTGGTGACAAAGTTCTTGTACTTACACAGAACAACATTCTCAAGGTACTTATTGATTTACTATGCACTTGGTGATTGTCTCAACAAATGGAACACATAACAATAATGGTGTTTTTACTTTGATTCTGTCACAGTTCTCTTGTGCATCAAGAAGCAGCCAAACATTTTACAGGAGCAAGCATGTCAAATCTCTAGCTGTATATCAGGGAAAAGCTTACCTTGGATGCAAAGACTCAAGTATACAGGTTAGTTTTTTGGTTACAAAAGCACGTAATAGTATCTTGGATCACTATATCTAAAGAGAATGGCTTGTGTTACAAGTCAGAAACGTGTACAACACATATATGTCTCTAATAAGAACGATTGTCACAGGAACTAGACGTGTCAGTTGAATCCAACATTGAGATAAGGGCACCTAGAAGAAGCTGGATGATTAGCAAGCAATCCATTAGCTCCATTGTTGTATACAGAGATTGGATGTACTGTGCCAGTGCTCAGGTCGAAGGATCAGCCTTAAAGGTAAAATGAAATGATCAAACTTGACCTCTTTAAGCTATGAGAAGAAAAGAAATGTGAAATTTTTTGAACCATTTCCAGGATTGGAAGAAACGATGCAAACCTAATATGACAATGCCAATACCAAAGGGAACAAGTGTAGAGGCCATGGCAGTGGTGGAAGACTTCATCTACTTGAACTGCAGTAGAAGCCCTAGTATCATTCAGGTGACATGAATTTTTTTTCTTTTTTCCATGTCAGCTACACTAATTTATGGAAAAGAAAAAGGCATGATAATTCCACTGCTTGAGCACAATATACTACCAGAAGATCTGTATTTGATTACAAAATTCAGTCTGAACTCGTTGAAATTTGCTGGCCGGTCCATTGTGATCGCATGCCTGATACCTAATGGAACTAACATTTAGGTCTCACTGTCAAGAACCAGGAACCAAATACTCTTACGTTTCGAGAAGGCCATCTATAGTTTCTTTTTATTTAGTCAAAGTATAGAAGCTGTCCCTTTTTCTTTTTGAAACCAACCAAGTAGGAGAGCTGCCACCAGACTGGGTAATACAACGAAACAACAAGACCTCGAAGGGTCTAGCAACAACACCACTGAGGCAGCCAAAATAGAAGCTGTCACTAGGATCATAAATGAAAATACAGGATTCACGAGTCCTGATTCTGCTTCTGAATTTATGATAGATATGGTTGAGGGAGACGCAGCAGAAAGTAGGAAGGCTATCTGCAGGAAGCAAGATAACGAGCTTGTTCACTGCAAACGACATGATTTTCTGTGGTACAGAAACTGGGTTAATTAAGGTCAGTAACAACCAAATTAATCTTGAGAACTAAGATTTATGCTTCTCTGAGGATAACGTGAAACAAAAAATTCTTGCAAATGTACCTACAGGCATGGATACCGTTGTGAAGAGTAGAAGCAAAAAGGAGCAGGTGGAAGGCCCAATCTTGTAAATGCAAAGGAAAGCTAGAGTGTACAGGAAACAAGAAAAAGAGGAGCATACCATTGTACAAGCCCTCAGGACACAACACAGCAGCGCAGTTCGTGCATAAACTCCATGATCAGCAAGTTGTTCAAAGTAATGAGTAGTAGGTTCATAATGTAAATACTAACTAGTGTGTGTGTGCGTGTTTGTTTTAGTTATGGGAAGAGATGAGTTGTGAATGTCAATAAAGGGTAGAGTAAATTTCTTAGATCTACATATATACTTGTGCAATATTATATATCCTAGAATTGGAATCTTAAGAAAACACTATATACTACCTTGGGTGACAAAAAAGAGATGTCATTTTGGGCAATGACAAGCCTCCAAAGTTTTATTCTTTTGGCTACCATTAATTTATATTGGAATACATAATCATGGAATAATTGTTGAAACAACACTTAGCATATGATTTCCATTCCTAATATTTAACTTTGTGTTGTGCTTGTGTTGGACAATGTTAACGAAGTATACTATGTTGAAATGTGTGTAGTCTGTTAAAAGTGTTGTGGGACGATAGTTTTTCTGTTTTGAAACATTAGCAGCAGCTCTGCCATATAACATAAGAAGGGGAGGAGGTCCAATTTTTGCAAGGTTTTACGCCTAGACTCATGAGGCGCATACGTATTGTAAGGTGAAAATTTGGGGGGAATTAATTTCACGTGGCAGGGAGCCCACAGGCCAAGCAAGCGGGAGTGCAGGTACAAATGCAGTGCTAGAATGGAATCTCAAGACCAAGAGGAGGGTTTTTTTTTGGGGGTGGGGGGGGAATTAATTTCACGTGGCATGAAATGAGCATAAACAAACTGAAGACAAGAAGTTTTTTTTTTTTGACAACAAAGACAAGAAGGTTGAAGGGACGGCACAAACCTGAGCTGAGGCCCCCAGCGCGCTGCAGATTCTGGGAAAGAAACAGTCAGACTCCATTCCTTGAGTCTGAACACGGACGGCAAAGAGGCTGTCAGACAGGACGGTGCACCGGCATGAGCTGGCTGTGATGGCCCGTGAGTGACCAAGCAAACGTGCGTGTAGGAGGGGGAGGAGGAGGAGGCGCACGCTGCAGCTGCACGCACGCATATGGGTTGCCTGCCTGCCTGTCGTGCAATGCAACAACGTGTGTCATGCGCTGCCAATTGCTGCTGCCCTGCCGAGTCGGTTTCGTTGTTTCCTGTGTGTGACTTGACTGGTTGCGGTTGGTGAATGATGATAGGAGTACGCCTGGCAGATCTGCAGTGCAGGACCTGTCACTTGTGGCTTGTGTGCTTTCTTTCCTGATTGCTTTAAATTGCGTTAGGCATGGGCAATACCGAATACGGCACCGACGGCGATTACATATACAGTATTAGTAGTATTATTTCTCAAAAATCCATGCTCATCCTTCCTAGCGACGACCAGTGATCGACGATTGCCCTGTTCATTTAGCCCTTGTTTAGTTCACCCCCAAAATCCAAAAAGTTCTGATCGCATATAAGCATCGAATGTTCATGCGGACCGTGCGTGGAGCATTAAATGTGCGAAAAGACATCGATTTGGTGGGAAATTGCGAGACGAACGTTTTAAGCCTAATTAGTCAATGTTTGGACACTATTTGTCAAATAAAAACGAAGGTGCTACAGTAGCCCCAAAATCCAAATTTCGCGAACTAAACCAGGCCTTAGCTGATAAACCATGAGTGAAAGTAAGAAAAAATACGGCTTATAAGCCAAACGAACATGACGGATGTGCGCAAGACATCGATGTAGAGTAGTGTGTGTGCATACATGGTATGCTATATGGTCAGCAAGCGAGGCCTTACCTTGCCATGTCTCCGTCTATATATGGCCAACGGGTCGGCCCGGCACGGCACGGGCCCGTGCCAGCATGGCCCGATAGCCAACGGGCCGACACGGCACGCCGTGCCTCACAGGGCCACGGGCCTTGCCTCCGGCCCAGGCACGGCACTATGGGCCGATTTCTGTGTGGGGCCGGCCCGCGAGGCACGGCCATTTTCACATGCCGTGCCAGCCCGAGGCCCACGAGAGAGGGAAGGGGAGAGCAGGAGGCAGGGCGCCACGGGAGGCGACCCACCGCCGCGGCCGCCTTCGCGCCTAGGAGGGGGGGGCATGGGACGCGTCGCCATGGCAGAGGAAGAAGGCAATTGCTGCTGGCTTGAACCCTAGATCCACCACCGGTGAGCGCGCCCGCAGCAGATGCCACCGCCTGCGCCTTGGGCTCGCCGGATCTGAGGGAGAGGGTGGGGTAGGGCACCACCGTCGCTGGCTCGCCGGATCTGAGGAAGAGGGTGCCACCGTCGCTGGTTGCTCACCGGATCTGAGGGAGAGGGGAGGAAGAGGGTGGGGGAGGGCGGCGCCGCCGCCACACTGTCTAGAGAGATGGAGGAGGGAGGTCGCGAGGAGGGAGGAGGGGCGGTGCGTGGCCGAGGAGCGGAGCGGAGAAGGGCGAGGCGCGGCCACGCGGTGCCGAGCACGCCATAGAGAGGGAGAGGGTATACGCCTGGGAGAGGAGAGAGGGAGGCGACGCTGATGTTGCTCGCGGCTGGGGAAAGGGGGACGGCGTCGGTGACTAGGGATACGGGGAATTGGGGAAATGAGATAGGGTTAGGGGGAGGGGGAGCCGGGGAGGTGAGCTGGGGGCGCGGGGAGGCCTGGGAGGCCGCAGGTTGGGCCTCTAGCGGGGCGGCTCGACTGTAGTAGGCCGTGCCGTGTCGGCCCACGTGCCTGGGGTAAGGCCTAGGTATGGCCTGCTACTCCAGGCCAGGCCAGCCTGGGCCCGCTAACCTTCGTGCCGGGCCGTGCTTGGGGCGGGCCGATGGGCTTGGGCTGCTTGGCCCTGTTCGATTGTCGAAAAAAAAAAAAAAAACATGTAGTGGCTGGTTGTTGTGGAAAAGAAATACTGTAGCACTGAAAGATGCACGGTAGCGTACGTGGAGGAGCAGCCGGCTGGTTTGAATTTTTCAGACCAGCGAACGCGCTACTCTAGTACAGCTGAAGCTGACAGCTCTTGTCCTGATTCCTGCCTGAATTTCCTCCGGCTTGGACGCTTGGTCAGTAGTCTGTGTGGTGTGCAGGGTGCCAGCAGGACGACCCAACCCGTGTTAATTAATGGATATATAAAGTCAAAGACTGTACCATCATCAACCGAACAGTAGGAGCACGACTCACCAAACTGACGGTGACGACGACGACGATGACACTGTGCCTGCTGCTGCTGAAACTGAAATTCTTGTGTGGTGGCCAGGCCTGGTTTGGCAGATTTAGGCGCATGCATGTCTTGCCTACAACTGCAGTGTCGCTCCACGTACTTGGATCAATATTCCCCCATACATGTCATGTGCAGGCATATGCTTACTCCTAGTTGTTGCTTACAGTACAGCATGACTGCCTGTCTGCCGGTGGAAGATGATGTATCAACTGTCGGTGCTACCGATCGAGCTGCGTCAAAGTGCCAACCCCCTGCTAATACATAAGTAATTCCCACATATAGTGCATAATTACATATTCTCAAGTTTGTACCGATAATGTTGCTGTAGTTGAGCTGTAGTACTCCTGCTAGAATGTCAACACCAAAATACTGCTACTGGCAGAGTGCATTCGTTATTTTTGCTACGTACTCCCTTGATATATTATACGATTTGTGTAAGTCAAATTAGCGTAGTTTTGATCAAGTTTATAGTGAATAATAATATTAACATTTAGGTCTCCGGCTAGGTTTACTACAAAAAAGTATATTTTATAATTAATTTAATGATTACTTATTTTGCATCATGAATATTTGCAATTATATTTTTTATATAACTTTGATCAAACTTCGAATAGTTTTACTACTTAAAAAGTAAGAATTGTATTTATTTCATGGATGGAGGGAGTATGTATTTTCTAAAAATTGGGGCAATAAGTAATTCTTTTGTCAATAGTTATTAAAAAATTCAGACCACAGTGATCGATATTCTAGTTTCCAATAGTGCATATTAAGAAATATATATTATGAATATGAAATTTCATGATGAACTTGCTAATTACCATCATGTTACCAATAAAAACTTGATTACTAAAAGAACTTATTACCAACATATATCCTGAAATGAGCTAGACAGATGAACAATGGATCACTAAGAAACAAAAAGATATATATACTATATATATATAGCTTGGTTTTGATGCCACATATGTAGAATTACGTTTTGGACTACACGTTAACGTGGTTTAGTGAAAGTGTTAATAAAGGCAGCAGCCATAGCGGCCCACGTGGTACGGTGAGATGAGATGCCCACGGCGGTCTTGTTGCCTGCTTTCTCTTCTTTATTGGTTTTCTGGTGCAAGTAGTGCCTCCTCTTCCTGTCATCATAAGAGCTGTAAAGACGGGACTGGAGAGCGATTGACTTGGCATCTGTTCCCCCACAATTCACGCACAAATTTAATTAAAGCTTCACATGTATGGTGATAAAAAAAGCTTCACATGTATGAATATGCATGCATCGTACAAAAAAAAAAAGGTTCGTGTGTATAGGAGTATATGCAACAAATAAAAGAATATATATAGCTAGTCAGTCTCTTGTCGTCTTTCTTCTTTGGCTGGCTTTTGTTGCTTTATTAGATGGATGAGCTGAAATTAAAGGGCTCTATAGCTAGCTATTTCATTCTTCTACCCAACTTATTAATTTTATATTGACTAGTGTGTGGGTTGCGTGCATGATGCTTGATCCGATCGAGACTTCCTTACCAAATTATTGTATTATTAACTCTTTTCCGCAATCACTGGCTGCTAAGTCCACCAAGTGTGCGGCGTGATTGGCCAGCTCGCACGGAAGCCTTATTAGTCACTCACACTAATTTGCCCTGTTCAATCATCACCCAACAAATCTCGGCATGCACCTTGCGTGAGATGTGTATATATAGCTTGGCCCAGATTGCTACTAATTATTATGTTATGCTCCTTTTTTTTTACAACAACTATTTAATTTGGAGAAATGTATATTACTAGTATTTCTTTTTCCCCAACTATGCTAGGGAATTTGTTAGAGGGAACGCACTGGTTGGGTCCTGCTTCTTGCACCACTGTTAAGTTTATTCGGTATTGGCTACGACAATTATTGTGTGCTGTCATCCCGTGTCCATACAACTTTTGAAACATCGTGGCATATATACTGCGCGTGTTAGATAAAGTAAAAAAGCATAGTCAAAATAAGTGCATG